AATTTCGTGAGAATTGAATTCGCAATTTGGTGAGGAACGTTTTGTATGAATTTGCATTTATTCCAAGAATTCCCATCTGACTTGCCGTTTTCTTTCAAACGGTTTCAATTCCCGGTTAAAGTTTCTTTTGCCATTACCATAAACAATGCGCAAGGTCAAAAATTCAAGTACGTTGGCGTGGATCTTCGTACAGAGTGCTTTTCACATGGACATACGTGACATTTTCTCGAACTGGGGACCCGAATCATCTTATGATTTTAATTTCAACAGGAAATATAACAAAAAACATCATATACTCAGAAGTTTTATAAAATTCTTATTTTAATTCTTTTTTTTTTCTTTTTTTTTCTTCATCAACTTCAATCAGATTCTTTATCAACCATAAATTATTTCTTTTTTATCTATATTTATTTTTATCATTTATAACGCTAGAAAAATTTTAATCCGTTTTCATTAACCGTTTTTTTATATTTACTTGCCGATCACATTAAACAATAATATTTGAATAAAAAATTCTACATATCATGGTCCGAAGGCAAAATAAACAACCAATTACGGGCGAAGCTGATCGTGATTCGGTGTACCGACTATTTTTGTCGGTTGGTTAATATAATTAAACACATAACATAAGATAGATAAAAATTAAAAACAGTTTTTGTCATTTTTTATTTTAACGAATCATAAATAATTCGTGTAACAAATTACCTACATGGTCCAACTAGTTGAATTTATGACACATTTTAAAGTATCTTTTTTTTTTTTTTTAACATTTTATTTTATTGCAAATCTGTAAAAAAAAAAACAATTGTTACCATAGAAATTATGATTTTTAATATACAAATAAAATTATTATTTCTTTAGTAATACATCGTCTTGTCGTTTTGACTTATTTAGTGATTCTTTGTTCCTCGATCCTCGACATGGACAAATCCGTTGCATATATGGTGCCCAGAATTAAAAAACGTTTCCGTGTCCGTCGTTCCATCATTCGGAAGATGACTGCCAATGAACTGATAAATCTTCGCGATATCATTGTTCGTACTATTTATGCACTACAGTATCATGATGAGTCTGTCGTAAGTGACCAATACATGTCTTGGGTGCGTGGCTTGTACTACGTCGACACTACGCTGTGGCGACTCACGTACCTTTATGAGGACGATGAGTATTGATTTCAATGTATTAATATTTTATAATATACGAATATATATATAATTTATCAATATTTTGTATTTATTCTTATCATTTATTTTGTATATTTCGAATGATGATTTTACTGACGCTTTTTTATTTATTAATATGTTTGATTTTTGTTACACTTCATCATTAGATTCATTTTCGTGAGGCATATTGAATAAAAGCATGGTAAAACACATGTATTATATTTTATAACAACATTGATTGTGCACAATATTAGGACTGTAGTTTTACAAATAAAAATAAATAAATAAATATAATTCGTATACAAAAAACAATTTTGAGTATGATTTAAATTTTTTTACAGAGTATATTTTTGCATGCTGCAAAAAAATATAAAAAACTTTGAATTCTTTGATAGGGTTTTGTATTTATGTATAAAATATGTGTTATCTATCTATCTATAAACTATATATAAAATTGTAAGGGTTTTTCTTCGACCGCGCTAACCGAGAAGACTACTGAACCGATTTGGCTGAAATTTATTTTGGCTGAAACCCGACTCTCTGCTGAAGGTTTTAGTACCACTTTTGTCAGTAAAAAAGTTCATAAAAGTTCATAAAAAATTAAAATCAATTGTACCTATATATTGCGTGTACCTATATTATTTAAATATTAAAGTGCTTCAAATTGGACGAATGACTATATTATGTCCTAAGTGCCATGCAAAAAAATGGAAAGATGAAACCCATGGACTTTGCTGCGCTGACGGTAAAGTTATTTTACACCAATTTGAGGATCTTCCAGACCCAATTAAAAGTTTAATTGATAATTCTCACCCTCTATCAAAACATTTCTTTGATAATTCTAGACAGTATAATACTCTGTTTCAAATGACATCGTTTGGAGCAAACGAAATAACTTCAATCAAATTCTTTATCAACCATAAATTATTTCTTTTTTATCTGTATTTATTTTTATCATTTATAACGCTAGAAAAATTTCAATCCGTTTTCATTAACCGTTTTTTTATATTTACTTGTCGATCACATTAAACAATAATATTTGAATAAAAAATTCTACATATCATGGTCCGAAGGCAAAATAAACAACCAATCACGGGCGAAGCTGTGACGGGTCGGCTAGTTTTAAAATATTATCGTAGCCAGAGTGAGGAGTTCTTTGAATATTACCTTTATGACATAAAAATCTGAGAGCTTTATTTTGAACTTTACCAGGTTGATCATTATGTCCTACATTGTTGTGATTCCAAATTAGTGGAGCGTATTCTAATAAATAACGGACTAGTGAGGTATAAAGGCATTTTAGAGCAAGTGGATCACGAAAATCGGAGCAGTTTCTTTTTATCATACCAAATACAGATAAAGCTTTATTTTTAATCGCTGATACATGAGCATTAAATAATAGTTTGGAATCAAATAAAATCCCAAGATCTTTAAATAATGACGAACGATGTAGGTTAATGTCGCATATATGATAATTAAAATGTAAGGGGTTGTGTTTTTGGAGTAAGTAACAATTTGGCATTTATCAATATTTAATAAAAGACTATTTGAAATGCACCATTCGTTAAATGAAGCTAAATCATTTTGTAGAAGTTTAGTATCATCGGGGGAAGTGATAGATTTGTAAATTTTTGCATCGTCGGCAAATAATAAAATGTTGGATTGTGAAATGGATGATACAGCATCATTTATAAATAAATTAAAAACGAGAGAGAAAAGGTGACAGCCTTGACGGACACCAGAAATCACGTTTATAGGTGTCGATATAAAGTTTTTATAATTGACAAATTGGATTCTCCGACTCAGGAATGAGTTGAACCATGATAATAGAGGATTTGCAAAGCCGATTTCCTGTAGTTTATTGATTAATAAAGAGCGGTTTGTGGATTCGTGGATGTAGCGGGAATGGTATATTTGTACGGATATTCGGCATCCGGCATTCGGTATTCGTCGTTCGTCTTGTTCCCGCCGATTGTCGGCAAAAGTGACACGAGTCGAAGAGAATAATTGTATCACAATCGTTATTCGGATGGGCGTTCCCGCGACGTGACGAATATTTGTGCATTAATTTCCGTGGTTCTAAATTCAATATCATAATTTTGATTGCTTGTACGAGTATTCGCGTTAACAAATGTTCGTCGAACATGCGAGTGGCGGGAACAGAACGTTTGGGTATCTTTTACAAATAGACGAATATATTCGGCAATTATAAACCGTTCGTCAAATACACGAGTCGCGTGGGAACCCGGCGCTTTACGGTAGTGAAGAACAAGCGCGACGCCTTGCGCGTGGTCGGTATAGGCATTCTAATGTGCTTCCCGGTACCGACCGAACCGTGATCCGTATCACGTGATACCATCAACACCCACGGCGTTTAGTTCCTGAAGCGTCCGCTAGGTTTCGATAACAGTAAAATGTACCCCTGCGCACCCGCTCAACCGATGTTAGCGTTTCGTTACCGCGGCAGGTACATCTGGTGTCCAGTAGTGATGAATGGTATTCGATGAGCATAAACTATCGAATATTATTTTATTACGACCGAATAGTATTTTTTTTCCATGAAAAACTATTCGTACGTATCGAATAAAAAAAAAAATATCATAATGTTAACGCGTTTACGTTTTCTGTCAATCGTTATTCTTATCAGTAATCGCGGTTAACACAGCAGCGGTTGGGTATCGCGAAATAAAATAAATAATGTTTAAGCTCACAGATATGTACTATGTGTTGTACGTATCCGTGTTCAAAGCTAAACCAATTTCGAATTTTACTGAACAGTTCAGAAGTCGTAAACCATCGAATAATTGAATAATTTTAAACTGTCGGATAATTCGAACAATTCGGAACAATCGAATAGTTCGATAGTGCTTATCACTAGTGTCCAGTCCTACGCGTCCTTGCCCGCAGAACGCATCGCGAAGCAAACGTTTGCCGCCGTAAGTTCAACAGCATTATTTGCCCGTTGTTAATTCGTCTCTGTTAAGACCTTCGTTCCGTTGCGCACACGCACCTGTTTTCGGAACGGCGTGTTCTTCTCCGCCAAAGCACAACGTCAAATGATCGTCGACATGGTCCAGCAAGGAGACTTGTACAGAGAACCGGAAGAAGAACAGGTAAACCGATGAACTTTCTCGACGTGTCGGCAACGTACGCGCGGCCGCGAACTGTTGTCGTCAATGTCCTCCGACATTTGTCCGAAACGACGATGCCGTACGCGTGTTTAACGTGCGCGTGCCGTCAATACAACTGTTCAGACGAGCGATGTGTAACGGCATGTTTCCAAATAACCACGCAATAAAACTGTTGTCTACTGAAATATTTACAAGTACAAAGTATTAGTTTAACCCGTCAATCGGACTGGCGCGAAGGTGCTTGCCAAGATCCGATTAAAACGCATCTAAATATTGGTCTTTTAGCGACCCCCCCCCTATATACACGGGTCTCGTGGGAATCGGTCGCGCAGTACTACGGAAAAGGTTGTTCCCAATTATTGTTAATACCCTGAAGCAGTGTCGTATTTAGTGATTTTGCGCCCCGGCGCAAAAAAAAAAAAAATTTGGCGCCCTTCAAAGGTAGGAGATAGATACTCATGAACCTTTTAGACAATCTAAAATCAATTCTGTTTTTGTGTAGTAGGCACCCCATCGCACGCCGCACGCTATAACATAATACGCCGTATTATTGTTAATATCTTATGTTTATTGACATTATCACAACAAATTTGTATATTAATATATTAATAATATTCTAGATCGCTGATAACTATATTGCTATAAATACATTAATAATATACATAAATTAATTAAATACATTAACATTAATTTATGATACTGTTATGAAAAACAAAAAAAAAAATAATAATTTAGTTATTAGTTCAATAATTCACAAGTGAGCAAATTTCTGACCACAACATTTTGGTGCTCCCAAAAAACTTGCGCCCGGGGCAGTTGTAGCCAATGCTCTCCCTTTAATGCGGCCCTGCCTTGAGGTGCTAAACGTGCTCTTTCCCAGATTTATTATTTAAATGGTTGACCTCTATAATATTACCTCTTGCACATATCCCATATTTTGTTGTGCACTATTATTAAATGCATTCTTAATATTACTTTGAAATGTAGCCATATAGCTCACATTTGCGTATGTGTTTGTGTTACTCTGTGGTCCTGTAATTATACCAATAATTCCTTTCTATATCGTTGACTCGATTTCTATTAGTTATGTGGTCCCCTTATGTAGTTAAGTACTATCGTAAGAACCTACATTTATGTATGCCTGTAACATTGTTTAGTTGGATAATGAAACAACATATGGTGATTTGGAAGGCCCGGATGCTATGTACGTAAAACTAATCTCGAGCGATGGTCACGAGTTCATTATTAAACGGGCACATGCCATTATGTCGGGTACCATCAAAGCCATGCTGAGCGGTCCTGGGCAGTTTTCCGAAAACGAAGCCAATGAGATCAACTTCAGAGAGATACCGTAAGCGATCATGTATGGTCATAGTGACAAATATCTTATTAGTTTTCTGTTTTAACATTTAGTTCCCATGTCTTGTGCTGCGTCTGCAAGTACTTCTCATACAAAGCTCGTTACACCAACAGTTCTACTGAAATACCTGAATTTAACATCGGTGCGGAAGTTGCATTGGAACTTCTGATGGCAGCTAACTTTTTGGATTGCTAAGTGTTTTTTAGCAAAAACAATAAACATTTTTTACAAGTACAAAATTGATAAAGAGCTTGTGTAAATCTTATGTAATTGTTTTTCTTTAATTTATTTTTAGTAGTTATTAGCTATATGGATACAGCATTTGTTAAAATAATTCTCTTTAATATTTTCTCACTTATATTCTAAAAAAAAAAAAATATTTAAATAACTATGTATTCCAATGAATTTTGTATTTTCATATCATATTTTTTTTTTTTTTTTTTATTAAAGACTTTTGCTATAGAAATCAATTCTATTTTCATAATATAGTATTATTTATAAATGTATGCAATCAACAAAACTGTAATTCAACATATTCCCCCAAAGTATTGATTTTTGCAAAATTTGTGATCTCTATATATTCTTAGACTATAAAGGAAAACTGATAATTCTATTTCTAAATTTTGAATTTTAGTTAACTAGAAATAATCTGTAGAAAATCTATTTTTACCTTAGCATAAAATAATCATAGGGTATTAAGAATCATAATTTTAAAATATATTATAATTATAATATGATTTACTAAACTTTGAGGTAAACTTTATAAAAGGAATAAAATATTAACGGATAAATAAAAATATCTGCATTTATTTATCTGTGTCAACATATATAAATTATAAAATATGTATTGATGTTAAACATATGTTTTTTATTGATTATTATAATCTCTACTAAAATCACAGATAGCATTAAACTACAAGGTAATCTCACTATACTGTAATGTAAATGCCTTGCAATTCAAGTATATTCAATGCAGGGTAACCATAACTCTCAGGTCAGGATGAACACATTGTAGAAATAATTGTATTGTACCAAATATTTTACCATAATACTGATCAAATTGTTTATCATAAAATCGCAAGTGAACGAATTCATCATTATCACAACATCATAAGTAAGGCTAGGATTCATATGCAATAAAAAGTTGTTTAATATGCATTTTATTTACCAAAATAGACAAAAAAAAAAAAAAAAATAATAAATAAAAAAATAAAACCAATCGATTCGGACTTGAAGAAAAAAAAATGCAAATGCATATATATCCTAGCTTTAGTCATATGACAAAATTCAGTGATACCTCATCAAATAAATAATAATTTCCCATAAAGATTTTTTTTTTTTAATAGTAATTCCAGCTCATCAAATATAGTATGGCCACAGATTATATGAATACAGATGGTGCACTCCCTATGCTAAAATGTAAATTCAGTGATAAGAGTCGGACACTTTTAAAGAGCGTGTCCATAAATAGAAAAATGAATTTCTTTATAATAGTTTATTAATTCTAAACGATCATTACTGACTTATTATTTTTTTTAATTCTACGAAATGCCAATCATAATTTTAAATAATATGGCTTATTATTATGGTAAAATGTTCGGTACAATCATGTATTTCTTGAATGTGATCACATTGATCACAGAAGTGGTTACACTCCATAAAAGTGTCCATGAAATTCATAGAATTGTGAATCCATATTGTTCCAATTTATGGTAATTCGAATGGCAATGTACACATAATAATAAGCTTAAAGAAACTAAAAACTATACCATTTACTGGCTTAAATTCCCAACATTCAATTACAGAGACAAAATAATTACTAATAGACTGGGAATTGGTAATTCAGAAATGTCTCATTGCAATCTGATGAGCTACATAAAGAAAATCATCTTATTTTTTAAACTAATTGATGTATATGTATATATATATAAGAAATAATATATATATATATAAGCTTATATAGAATTAAACTAATTTATATGTATAATTATATTTAAAAATAATGTACCTAAATTCATAGTATGTGAAAATTATGATTCCTTGTAAGCTAATAAATGTAGTTTTTGATACCGTACAAAAAAAAAAAAAGAAATAAAAAAAAAAGTTAACCATTTTGGTATCATACAAAGCCAATAATATCGGATGTTTAGTTTTGATCAAAAACCTGGTCCGACATAGAATAAAATATTATAAAAAATATAAATGAAACTAAAGCATTTTATTGCAGTGCCTTCGACAGAAAATTACTAGAAAACTAAAAAAAGAAGATAAATTCAGAAATACAGGAAAATTAAATGGTGAATTTATTAAATGGTATATTTATAGAAGCAAAAAAAAAAAATGTTAATTTCAAATTAAAAGTTTTGATTTATAAGCTATTAGTTTTTACATTTAGAATGATTATAATTATATTTTTAGTTTAGACTGTTGTTTCTCTAGTAAACTATTAATTTAAATATAATTAAATATTTAATTTATTTAATTAATTAAATATTAAATACATTTTTAGTAAATTATATTAATTTTATAATGTATGATGTATAATAAATGTAACATGGTAATTGGTAAAACATGCTTAGTTGTATAATTTAGTTTTGTTTCAAAATATTCACTAGTATATTAATTATTTTATATTGTTATCCACTTCATTACCATTTTACACTGGAAATATAATTAATTTGCATTCTGAAGATTTTTTTTCTGCAGAAACCACTCTTTTTTCTGTAAATGGTACTTTTATATTTGATTGCATGTGTTATTACATGCATATTATTGTGTGTTTAACTCTAAATATGTAAAATATATTCTGTAAGGCATATTTTAGTAGTGGCGTTTGAGACATCAGTGATAAATGTCGAAAATATCCAAGTATTGAGTACTAAAATATTATACACAATAGTATTGTTTTAAATCAGTTGCAATAATTATTTAATAGTATTTATTTAACGTATTTATTATTAATTTATTATTGTTAACGTTGAAATCTAATGGCCAGCACTGAACTGTGGTCGTATCTCGGAAGACGGACTAGTTTTGCGTGTGATCCACCGTCAGATCCCTCCCCTAACCCAACCCAGTATCGTCGTCGAGCGTTTCGATTGGTTCCGGTTCTAGGCGGCCGTCACGAACGCCGAATCACCTTCAGGGGCGGATTTTATCACTCACCAAGGGAGGGGCTAATGAAGGTTCAAGAATTTAGTTAGTTGTTTTTTAAATCTATGTACAATTTTAAATTACAGAATATATTCTTAAGTATCTCTTAAGTAAGTCATTTTTTTCACAATAGTGACAAATTTTAAATAGTTACATTATTGGTATCGATTTTAATCTGAAACCATCTTAAAAATATAGATATACATACATAATTAACAACAAAAATGAGCTATTTATTTATAAAAAAACATATAAAATAGGTACCACCATATATAATATATAATTAGGCTTACGGACTTCTAGCATTTGTATACTTTTTTTAATTATTGTTAAATGTAGCAGAGTGCAAAGTAAATTCGTTTCTCGGCGCCATAATATTGGATCTAAAATTTGAATGTGCATATTTTAAAATTGTTATGCTTATTTTGCATATTTTGACAAATTTTTCAAATTTAAAATAAAAAATTATAGATACATATAATTATATATACATATTTGAAACGATCGAAAAGAAAAATGTACTAAGAGGACTTTATTAGTGATGGGCGTAATCGAGATATCTCGATTATCAAAATAATAATTCGATTATATACCCGAGATATTGTTTCGAGTGATATCTTGTTTTTTTTAAAAACAACGAATTCTTGATCTCGAAATGTGTATCGAATGAAAAAATATTTCGAATGATCTTCGTGGAACGAAGGAGTGAGGGATGAATACTATTTTTAATCTTCATAATCGAATTAGTAAATACTAGTTGTTAGACAAATATTGATGGGTATACGATTATTCTTAGTTATTTATATTATCTATAATTTTTGAATTACTCAAACACAAACACAACAAAAATTTCTTAGAACGTTTATAAATAAAATTATATATTATATTTATATTTATATATTATATTTCAATTGAACATATCGAATGATTATTTGGAGACATCTCATGATCATAAAAATGTCTCTGAATACTAATAATTCGATTGTTGAAATCATTCGATTATGCCCATCACTAGACTTAATACTTTCTGTGCGCGCGAAATTCCCGCAGGTGTATCTGACGAGGTGTTATCGCAACGGCAGAACCCGGTCGATTGCCACATGTGTAAATGGAAAACCAAAGGATGAAGGAGGAGAAATATAATAAAAATGATCAGCAATTGTTTTATCAAAATACAAGGTCTTATTTGATCAAATTAAATAAACATTAAATAAGCTTACGAACTAAAGGCAAAAGGGGATGGTGGAGGAGCAACGTATTATTACATAAAAATCTTGGCCTATAACAGTGTGGGTCCTAAGAAACCAATTGGATCAAATAGTCTAGCGATGGTCGAGAGCACTTTTCGTTTGGTATATTGACCCGGCCGAAGACTTGTGTGGTAAGCAAAACGATCTGATGATGGGTCCCAATGAAGGCCTAAAACCTTCACAGAGGCCTCATCTTTGGGATCCAATGACAATAATTTTGCATGATCTTTGGTGTCGATGTTCTCCAAGATAACCGGACAGTTGCTTGTCAATTTTTTTAAGGTGCATCCACAAGAATTCAATAAGCCGATGATGTCTCGCTGGCTGAATGATAGATAGCTACTCTTCTGTATCTGCTCCTACCACGATGTCATCAACGTACGTTTGGCGGGTGAGAATATTCTTCGCGGCTGGAAATTTCGAACCAGCCTGAGCATTTAATTCATGCAAACATCGGATAGCCAGATATGGAGCAGAAGTAACGCCATAAGTGACAGTACGAAGTTCATATTCTTCCTCAGGAGATTCACGCCATAATATATGTTGATGCGCACAACCATTGGGTTTTAACAAAATTTGTCGATACATTTTGGTTATGTCTGCGGTTAACAGATAACGTTTTAACCTACTCCTTACAAGAATATCAAAAATATCAATTTGTAATTTAGGACCAGCTATTAGGACGTAATTTAGCGATAAACCCGACGATGTAGAAGCAGATGCATCAAACACAACACACAACTCTTCGATCTTGTTACCGTCACGTTTCACGGCAGCATGGTGCGGGATGAAATATTTTCCGGCCTGAGTCGCTCTTTTCATATGATCCAGAGTCCAGTATTCCTTCATAAATTGCTGATATTCAGCGTATAATGCTGGATCTTTATTTAGAAGGCTTTCGAGATTGAATAAGCGTTTTTGCGCAAGTGAGCGAGACTCACCTAGGCCATGATTTTGCAAAAACATACTGGATGGGAATTAGGCTTGATTCTTCCTGAATTTCGAATGGTTTTGCAAAAACAATACCGTATCTATAAATGGAAGTGCAACACGGAACCTGCCATGTTCATCACGCGTTGTCGTTTTTGAAAACTATTTCTCACATTGGTGGTCTTCAGTGATGGAACTTTTCGGTTGCGTAATTTCTTCAACTGACCAGAAAGATCGAATCATGTCCTTTAAGGAAAATTACGTCACTGAGAACGAGTGCACATAAAACGCATTTTGTTCATCAAGGAATCCGAAAACAACCCATTCCAAGAAAGAGTCCACCGCTGACGGCAAACCTTGACGTTGTAAAATGTCGGCTCGGGGCTTCATTATGTGAGGGAGCAAATCTTCACCAATGAGCATATCTATAGACGAAGGAACATCAAATGACGGGTCAGCCAATGATAGATGACCGTAAGACTGACGAGCACAAGGTGGTAATGGCACAGAAGGCATGTTAGTGGTAATCTGAGGTAAAATAATGATGTCAGAACTACAGAACGACAGTTCATGGTTGTTGCCATGGTACAAAGTGACAACTGGTAATTCCTTTTACGTTATTAATTGATTTCTTTGATAAACCAACTATGCCTATTTGACATCTGCGTCTGGGAAGGCCTAGCTTTGATACACATCGCATGGTCATGGCTGATACTTGTGATCCGCTATCCAATAATACACGAACGGTTTGATAATCACCACGGCAGTCACGCATACGAACTATGGCGGTTCCCAACACGACCGTGGAAGTGGCGCATGACAACCCAGAGAACTTAGTAATGTTATCTTGTGAAGTGCTTTGAATAGGATCGTTTCCTTGTACAACACATGACGAGATGAAATCTTGATGAAGTAAAGAATGATGTCGTTTTTTTACATACTGAACATGACCATTTAGATTTACATGCTTTTGCCGTGTGTGAAGGACTCAAACATGAAAAACACAATTTTGTTGATAACGCCGTATCCCGTCGTTTTTGTAGTGGAAAATCTTTGAAAACTTGACAACGATACACGAAATGTTCTCCTGTACAACATGAACATTTTGGATTGGACCCCTTTTTGCTAGTTGATGTAGTGGCAAGAGATGATCTGGTTGTCTTATAATCCTTGAGTCTTGCGTGTTTCTTCTCAGTTCGATCATTGTCAGGACCTTTGGTATTCTCTAGGATTCTACAATGGTGATGAACGAACGTAAGCAAAGAATCAAAAGTAGGAATAGTTTCCTGCGAAACACTGGCTTCGAACAATTGTCGAGTAATCGGGTCCAATAATCGTGACCCAATATAAAATAACATAAAGTCGGACAGATTGTCTACACCAAGCGCAGTAATCGCGGCGACATTTTCTTGGAAATATTAATGAAGTTCAGTAGAGCCGGCAATGATTCTGTAACCATTGGGCGAAATGAAAATAGTTTATCCAAGTGGGCTAAAGCTAATAATCGTTGGTTGTCGTAACGATTCATTAATGTCATCCAGGCAATGTCATAATTACTGTCGGTGAAAGATAATGAACTGATGCAAGACAAAGCTGGACCAGATAGACAAGATAATAGATAATGAAATTGATCAATTTTACTTAGATTGTCATTTAGGCGTATTAAGGATACAAACTTATCGCGGAAAGGTCTCCATTGAATTAAGTTGCCATCATATTTAGGCAAATCGATTTTAGGTAATGCTAAAACGGAAGACAAGGAAGTCGATATATGTGGAGCGTTTAATACAGAACTATTCATTGGTTTAACACTGAGTAACTTAGCGATTATAGCACAAGTGTTGTAGTACAACTCTTCTGTGGAAGTTGTTACGTCTGAATCAACGGAAAATTCATCGACGATATTGAGTTCTATTAGAACATCCAAAATCATATTTTGTTGTTCTTGAAATAATTTGAATAAAGTTTCTAATTTATCCATGCGAACTGCCAAATTTTCAATCAACGCACCATTATTGTTGACTTTGACAGCCATCGAATGTATACTATGGATAGACTTGACAGTTTGATCACGCACAACACGCGCGCGCGTTAGCTCCTTTTTAGCTGTATCTGTCTTTGGTTTACCAATTTTTCAAACATATTATTTTGGCAAATATCCGGCTCGAAGGTCCAAAAATGTGCACGCGAAATTCCCGCAGGTGTATCTGACGAGAGGTTATCGCAACGGTAGAATCCGGGCGATTGCCACACGTATAAACGGAAAACCAAAGGATGAAGGAGAAGAGATATAATAAAAATGATCAGCAATTGTTTTATTAAAATACAAGGTCTTATTTGATCAAATTAAATAAACATTAAATAAGCTACGAACTAAAGGCAAAGGTAGGGGGGGGGGAGGAGCAACGTATAATGTACAAAATAAATGTCCCCAATGGGCGCACAGAACGAATATATTTTGTTTTTATAAAGATAATTGAAAAGGTTGACCTGTCTCCAGATGGTACCGCGATGACTGGTAAAACGAACCGATCCACGTACACAATAAATCGAGGATCACACAGATATAATGGTGATGGGCGTCATATAATTTCAATAAGTACGGCGAAGGCGCACTTATTAAAATGGCGGCGAAGGCTTACTTATTGAACGGCGACGAAGGCGCACGTGTCACGTATACCACGACGAAGGCGATAAAAATAGCGACGAAGGCGCACGCATAACCGGAATACAACAAACACCTCACGAAAAGTGAATAATAAGACGTATTTCAGGGCGTAGTCTACAATCCTGCGTTGGCGGCGAAGATGGAGAAAACACATGTGTTCATAATACGCGTTACCAACCAGTCCACGCCAGGACACGCGGAAGTGTTACCAACTGCGCCTTATCGTCAGTGCGTAACAGGACCGAACACTTTCAGTAAAATCCCAACTGCAAATTACCTCTCATATCTGGTTATAATTTTTGTTGAAATATAAATAATAATATAAACCCGTATCGATCATATAACCCGCTGGATATCGACCGAATGTCGATAAAGATAATAGTCGATATAGAAATTGTTTATTTAGTTCAGTCGATTATTATCCGTCGTTGTTTTTGCTAACCACGCAACGTCGAATCATACGTAAAATGTCGTACGGGTGTGTTTTGTAAAATTGTGTAATGCCGAAAGTACAACAGTCTACGAGTAGCTGACTACAAAGTTTTGTTACGGAGTTTAAATATACATTTACATCCGATCGACACGTTTTATTTTGTGTACTATGTGATCATTTTTTTTTTTTTTTTTTTTTAATGCATATTTTAATGATTTTAGAAGCATATTTGCATGCATATTTGTGTACTTTTTAGAGCTATAAGTTCCTAAGCCTATGCATAATATATAATCAGTGACGATCCACGATATTTTACAATAATGATTAATGTATTAAAATATCATAATACATTTGGCATTGTAAAATAATTATCTTAGCCCCCGCCCGAGCACTGAGCATAACGTTACGTTTTAAAATTTGTCCAAAAATATGTTTTAATATGCATATTTTGATAGAAACAATTCGCTGGAATCCGTAGCGGCCCTCTTATACAATACTCTGCAATTACACGTACATAACTGTATATTATTTTGCCGCTATCTCAATTCATTCGAAGTGCACTGGACTATCGATGTGAAACAATCCAAATGTCTCTCCGACGAAATCCAACTTGGTGCCGTCGAAATTTCGAACGTTGTTTTAAAACACTTTTAAAAAATGTGATTTTATTCGCCAACACTTCAATATTAGTCATAATAGTAAGTATGGTCAATGGTACAGAAAAATAAAGTCTAATTTTGGTGAAAAACTGACACTTGTATTTATAATAAAATAGGTAAATTGCCATCAAAAGACCACGGGGGAGGAAAGACTGCTTCATTAACCCCCTCCTGAAGACGATCCTTGTTGCTTGGTTGCATGAAATTTCAACGTATATTTGAATAATGAACTGTTAAGGTTGAAAATCTAGTGATTCGTATAAGTTTACGGAATCAAATTCCATCGGTAAAATAATACCTACAAGTAGTTAAAATGTTTTATCTACATTTATCGAATAATTGTTTAGGTTACGCCTTGAAAACGTTCTAGTTAGATGATTTTCAAAGATAAGATTAGTCTTTCGTTTTGTGGAATGATGATTATTTTGGAGCTTGCCTTGTTAGCATTCAAATGGAAAATTATTAATAATCGTTCGATACTTATAAATTATGTATGAATTATAATAAATGACCATATTTTTGACGTATGTAGGACCTGGTCACCCATCAAAGGACTGTAAAGAGCCTTCCAATTGTTTTCTGTGCGAAGAAATCAAGAAAAAGAAGGATCATTTCCCAGGAAGTGGTAAATGCGAAGCCTACAGACGAGCAAAAATTAGTAAAGCTCATTTTTTGTAGGCCAAAGGCCACATCACAGGGGTTAGAGGCCCCTGAATTACGCGTAAACTAACTGACGATGTATTATTTTTCGTCTCAAGTTTCATAATAAATTATGTGGTCGAGGTGGAAGTAATGCGAAAGTGGTTCCCATCCCGTTCATGATTCAAAAGCGAAAATAAAAAAATTTCCATGTTTTTAAAGATATGCTGTACACAGGTACTGGTAAACTTATAATTAGTCTTAATAACTAATTAGTTAATATCGTATAAATATTACCCATTAGTTACGACAATGTATAAGAACTTTGCTATGAATCGAAAATAAGCATTGAAAATATATAACTTGTTTTTTCATTATTATCTATACGAGTATATATAAATATTATTATTATACATGTAAAAAAATGTAAATCCATTGTTGAGTTTAACATAATTTAAATTTGAATTATAAAATTTATAGAAATAATGAATCCCAAGCGAAGGTCAAGGTACTGTATTACATGCAAATCCAATAAAGTATTTGAACATTTTACAGGTTAAAAAGAAATCAGAAATTAATTACATAGGTTTCTCAATTTCTTATTGCTATTGATGCTTTTAAGTTTTTAATAATATTAACGTAACACAATTAATCTGCATTTTGGTTGGGTCCTCCCTCTAAAACTATAGAGCAGAGGCTTCCAACAATGGTGCCGCGGCACCCTAGGGTACCGCGAGATTAAATTTAGGGTGCCGCAAAAATATTTGAAATATATATTTATTTTTAAACGCCTTCATGACAAATATAGCACTGTGAGTAATATACAGACTATACTCCATATCTATAATATAGAACCTATTGTGTATAATTAATTAGGTATATACAATATAATTTCATGAATTAATTATTAACACACATAATTTTTATAAATAGTAATACTGAGATGTTCAATCTATTTTAATTTTCATACTGGTTCGATTGCTATCGATTTGATGTGAACTGTTTTAAAGTTATTTTCGGTAAAATACTTGTGACTTTATCTTATCTTTATTGTTTATTAATGCTAAATAAAACCGAAGTTACAAAATATTAATTTAAATATACGATATATTAATATTGCGTATTCAGTATAAACTATAGAGTATAGGGCTAGGCCTACAGGGTGCTTCCAAATTTTTAGAAAATAATAAAGGGTGCCGTGAGTCAAAAAAGGTTGGGAACCTCTGGTATAGAGAACAGAAGTGATTATGTAATGCGAATTAACGTAAAAATGACTATGATTTAATAATATTTTATAACCTTCACGAATTTTATGTATGGTTAACACGGCCGCGAACATTAACAGATCAATAACCATCAATCTAATATTTTCGTTTTTTGTAATACAACACCAAGGTATGTATACTCGTATAATGTATTGGTATAAAATATTGTAAACACTTTATTCGTACATTACAGTGGCGTATACATCACATTTGTATGAGGGAGGATCAGTTGCAAATATATTATTATGGAAGGAAAATTCCTAAACCTAAGTACCAGCACATTTAAATAATAAATAATAAAAGATATATATATTGAATGTGTTAAAATAATAATTTACAATAAATCCTTGCAAATATTATTTTGTTTCCTTATAATTTTCTTAAATTAAGAACACTATTTTATGCAATTTTAAAAGGGCTTATGGGGGATATCTGACCCCTGTCCCTTGTAAACGCCCCTGATTCAGATAGCAAGTAACTAAATACATGTGCCTATGCATATAGAGTAAATCGTAGCAGCTTATGAATGATAAAATGTCTAGTAGTGAGTTAATAAGTGAGTAGGCAGAGAAAATCTATTAGACAATAAATATATGAAAATATTGAAAAAAAGAAGCGCGAAGATATTTATAGCTGCGTCGTCTACATGATATACGAGATCTGTTCAAAAAGTCTGTTCCAGAGGGGGGTTTTTTTTTGTCCCTTCCTAGAACGTTGTGCTCGCTAAAGTCTATTGGTCAACCTGTTCCAAACCGTATGTCGCTATCCATCGTAGTCTCTTATCCAAAGCTGTTCTTGTGCTGCTACGTCTTGTGTGTCGGACAAAAACGTGAGCGCGGCAAAATGAGAGCGATCGAGTTGTGCTGTGTCTGCCGAGACTTGTAGTGAAGATATTATGAAACGATCCACGTTCCACAAACGTTTTAAAAACGGACGACATGCGGTCGAAGACGACGACGACGACGTTCTGGTCGATGATTTCACGCAACATTTAACCGCGCAACGCTGGTCAATCACACTCTCATTTTTTCCCGGGTTCACGTTCTCGACTGTTGTAACATTATTATACATTTTAGTTGGTTGAAATCACATTATCTACCGTAGGCATTGCACACGGCCATGGTATACGCGTACGCGCGTACCCGTATGGTTTGATCAAATAAATCAGACGCTCAACGTGATTTCATTCGTACTTTAATGACCAAGAATTTTTATCGCGTTATTATTCACGTCTAAAATAATGACATTACATCGGTATGTGCGCGTATTCCGTTTTAGACTCATAAATCAACACGCGTAGAAGCAATAAATTGATGCGCTTGTGTGACTTGTGAAGTGTGCTTTTCCTCGTACTTATTTTTCGTTCGAAGGGTCGTATCGTTGTACGCGTGTAGCAATGAAACGTATTGTGTATAGATTTCTATGGATGAATAATATTTAACTTTTGAAGCGATCATTTATTATATGATTTGTATTGCGCGGGAACACAGTTGAAGACGGATAATTGATGTGCACGTGTGCATGCTTATATTGTACACTCGGTGTGCGAATAACAAAAGTAGTACACATGTGCAGTTACATTTTAGTTTTTAAAGCCTCACGACGATTTGCTCTAATGCCCTAAAGGTGGACTAATGGTGTTTCGCGTGTTTAGTTATTTTATTATCACCGCCGACGTAGTACATAACGGATCGGGGATTAACAAAAAGTAGATGTATTATTTTATAAAATCACTTAATTGTTTCCATCATGATATACTCTAAATATTTAAGGTGAATCTCTCCCTTGTGCGTATTCAATCAGCTGCCTACAATGTCTACAATTTGTATAGTACCATATTATATTGTTTATCGTTGTTCGAGTAAAATATACACATACGTAGTAGCACTATCGCATCGCTTGTCGTTCAATAACGCTTTGAAAGTCCTTTATTATGTTCATTAACCTTGTAATATGCATGTGCTTAGTATACCGTACGGTGTTCAGATTTGCTGGCGTAGTTATGAATCATACGAGTGAAACTAAACTATGGCGCGGCCAAAGTAAACATTTTAAAACCAGCGAATTTACAAAATATGTCAAACTTAACCTTACCTAATCCAATCAAACCTCATAGAGTGTTCAGAATGTGCACGTCTATTTAAGTTTCGTTGTCATGCAAAAATATTTCAAACTGCAAGTAAGGAAAAAAAAAAACACTATTTATTATATGGTAGAGAGAAAACGTAATACTGTAATCGACAGAATGTGTGTTAGTGGTGATTGCCTCCGATTGTTTTCTACAACTTTTTCACACGTTTAATTAGAATCTTATTGTGTTATTTGTGCACAATAGATGGTATATTACGTACTATGATTTCAATAACATTTACTATATCTGTATTAGGTGTGTGCCGTCCGAGTGAATTATAGCCGTAAGTGTACACATTTTTAGCATGACTAAAGTAAAAATTATAAAAATCTCCACTGTTGGCCATTGTGTGATCATTGCACGTATAGTAATAAATAAGTTATAAATATAATTAGCCGTATTTTCAGCACGATAGACAAATATTTTCATATTTATTTTATGAGTATTTACTATTTATTATAGATTTGGTTTCGCCCGTAGGTTTAGTTCGACTTTTATGCTCATAATTTAAAACTAAAAATGTTCTGTATATATTTCCGTACATATATAACCTATTATTATTTATTTATTCAATTATATCATAAATTGCAAAAATATACTCATAACAAATTCAGAACCAAGATTTTTTTTTTATATAAGTAAATATATTTATTTACATACAAGACAGATATTTTTTCCAAACAACTATGACTTACGGCAGTATATTTTCTTGCTCTGATTACAACGTACAAATTTACTCATGTAATCTTATACGTGAAAAAAAAGAAATAAAAATAGAAATGTTTGTAATATCAAATAGCATAACAAAAATTACGAGAGACAGTACAATTTCATAAATTCAACTTTAAAATAATTAGTAATTCTCATATTTCTCGATTAGTAAGCGGTTTTCGTCATCGGTTTATTCTGTTGTTTACAAGTGTATTTCCCATTATACTTAAAGATTTAAAACGTGCAACGTTATAAATTCACTGCTATCATATATTATGACCCTCGAATATTCTTACTGTTATTTTAAAAACATTCTATATAGTTTTTAATAATTTTTAATGTTTGACCAAATGTCGTTCTACGATTTTGGCAGTGTTTCCAAATATGAAATGCGTTTACACTATATGTATACCATGCATACCGTCCTTTGTATTAAATTCCATCTACATTCCGTGGGTATACTGAATACTGATGACACCCATCACTGAGATGCAGCAAGAACCGTAGTGTTTACAAATTTTTTTTTTTTTTTAAACTTAACTCGGGTTGGAATGATTAACATCGACTTTATGGAACTAAACATTTTTACAAACGATCCGTTAACGTGGGGTGTGGTAGACGGGCCGAACAAAAGCTGCAAACATGTAGAAATCGCAATCTGTATCCATTGTCTTGTATTTATTGTGCTCGAGAGAAACACTGTAGTCGTTATTATAAAATTTTTACAATATATATTAAAACGCGCTTGATAGATAACGCATAATATACGGTCTTTTGTGTTGTCAGAATGTGTTAACACGACGGATTGTCGTTCAGTTTAGTTTAACATGTATTCGATGTATTAGCAGGCGGCTGCGTATAATATTGTAATAAACAGTCGGTTCAGGCTGGGAAGTATATAGGATTTTTTATCTGAAAGGTTCAAAATGTTTATGAAGTATAAAGGATAATAATTAATTTCTCCGTGTGATTTTTTTTTTTTTTTTTTTATTAACATTTAATTTATATGATATACAACATATAAAATAGTGTTGAGCATATAATTTGTCACTGTCTTTTCCATAAAAGATAAAGTCTACTCATCAGTATATAATAATTATATAATTATTACTCCACCTAGAAAACCTTTATAAAAATATTCTTTTATTTCGGGTCTTCTAAAATTATTTTTGTGTACCTATTATATATACGTATATTATAATATTTTTTCGTGTAAAATAGCATATTATATGCCCACATAAGTATGAAATATAAAATTAGTTTAAAATCGTTGATTCACAACATTAAGTTCTGTACATTTTTATTTACACAGTATTGCGCACGTGGTACATGCACGTAAGCGTCGTAGACGGTCGTTGTTCACAAGCAATAGGTAAAGTGGCGTGAGGAAAACAATATTAAAATCTGATGTATAAATGTAATTTTTATTTTATAATAATATATGCATACTACACACATATTTATTTAGTTTGATGTATTCCATTTTCATGTGTGCATGCGTCCGTCTGGATAAAATTTGTTGTATGTATATTCGTATTATGTAAGTACGCAATCATTATTGGTTATCGCGGAACGAATCGTTTTCAAATCGGCGATTTGCGAAAAAAAAAAAAAATTTATTTAATTTTACCATTTAAATTACCGAGTTTGATAAAAAAAAAAAAAAAATAAAATATTAAATAGAGAATTTTAATTAGTAACGCGTCGCTGCGAACGTTTTCCCGTCCATGTTTAAAGATATTTTATTACCATTAAATATTCATATTATTCAGGTTTCCCCGAGGCTCGTGAACACAATCGCACACGCTTTTGTCGATCAGACCGGAATCTAATGAGCATATAACGAAACCGGTAACCACTTCGTGATCCCCGTGAAATGAAGACTTCCGCGACGGTCGACTACAGTCGCGCGTGGGAGTGCAGACAGTGCCCGTACACTCGACGGTTTACGATAAATCGACCGGTAATAACGATGTACGCTAAATCGACTACAATGCCATTCGATTTTTTTTTTATACCACACGTGTATTCGAAATTTTTCGTCAATGTTCCGTGTACTACGTGTCGGCCGGGGTGTGCCCATCATGGCGAAAAATATAGATAAATTGTTTCTTCGCACCCGGGATGTTCTATCCAGTACGGTTGATTATTATCACACAATTTTCATGACATGTTTATAGTGAACGGAAAATAAATCACGGTAGATAGGTCTAAAAATCGTACAGTTTGTACGTATTCAAGTAGTAATTGATAAACGTGTTCGTCGAAAACTACACAATTTTTGTTTTCGTTCGATCGTTTTACTAGTGAAATTTAAAAATACAAGTCATGAAGTGTAATAAAACCGTCTACGATTTTATTTGAAATCGGGTTAAATGTATGGAACAACATTTGAACAACACAGTGAACCAATATTACAATACGTTTTGATGAAAAAGTTTGTACATAAAGGTCGAGGTCGTGTAATGTAAACGATTTCGTTTCGACGCATAATTTATCCAACATCAAACGTTTCAGGTTTCACTGTAAAAGGGGTGAACATTCAGCTAAGGGACACGAGTGATTGAAATTTGCTCGAACCGAAGCAGAAATGTCAGAAACGATGTGCGTTCGGTTCCGATCGGCGGGTATTATTGACGCGTACTGTAATTTTTCTCGTGTTCTCGCCACGAGTGTTTCAAAATGTTCACATCGAGAAACGGACGATCTCATTTGATAGTTAGGCAAAAAAAAAAAAAAAAAAACAACGTACACTGACATCGTACGTCGTGCGGTTGTGAAACGTTTACGGTACGGAGACAAAAGTTTCATCCGGAAGTCGTTGACGCGGTACCGGTAAGCCGAGAGACGTTTGAATCGATCGTTTCAGCTGAACGGTTTTGCCCGAGGAACGCAGACGGAAACGTTTAGGTCCGGAAGGATATCTGCTCGCGGTTTTCCGTCCTGGAAGAGGCGGGAAACATCCGTTGCGTCCGGTTTTGGATACGATGCGTTTCGCGTGAACCGGTGTCCACGTACGCGTAACTCGATTCGACGCAGTTGCCGGTCTTAAGCGTAACTGGTCGTCGGGCGCGAAGGTGAGTGACTCTGTCCGAGCTCGGCCGCATCGGTCAAGACCTGCGCCGCCGCCACCGCCGTCGCCGCCGCCGCCGCCGCCGAGGTACAGACGCGCGACAGGTACACGTAGTCCGATAATCGGCCGACGACTCCTCCTGTTGCGCTCGAGCCGCGCGCACGGTCTTCGGTTCCCCGAGCCAGTTGCCGTTCTCCGGGCGCGGTCGACCGTCGCCGCTCGCCGATCACTCGTTCCCGGACGGAGAAGACGACCATGGCCGTTTCCGGTGATCGTGTCCTTCCGGCGTCCGGCCCTTCGTCCCGCGTCGCCGTCGCGGTCGCCGTCCTGTTCGCAGCCGTCGCCGTCCCTTGGACTCTCGCAACCGCGACCGAGGTGAGCAACCGGCCGCTGATCGTCCGCACTACCGGGCCCGGGTCTTAGCTCTTTCGGCCGCCGTCCGAACACCATTCGGGGAGCTGCTGCGTCCACGATCAATAATACACCAAAATCATTTTTCCAATCGCCGTTACTCGCCACATGTTTATAAACCGTACGGAGGAAGTCGGCCACTGCCCTTTTGATTCCCAGTGCCGTCGCACGCGTTTAAACGCATCTAAAGCTACCGGGGGGGGGGGGGGGGGGGGGGGTGTTTGCCGCCCCAGTGGTTCGAGTCTTGGTAGGGGCGCGATCGCGTTTCTCAACCGAATCGACCGGCTAAGATCATCGTCGCGGGATGAAAATGTCCTCCGTTTGGATTTCACGCGTATCGCGTGCGCCGGTCCTACGATCGTTGTACATTATTTTTTCGTCATTTTTTCCCCCGTCGCTTCAACCGACTCGATTACAATATGGTATTGTTTTTCGTGGTATGCCGTTTTATTTTTAACGGGGTCAAGATTTCTGGTTTGTTTAAATAACGAGTTCTGTAACAGATCGCAACAGTTTTTTCATAGTTGATAATTGTAAAAAGCTCAGTGTTCAATCATTATTCGGACCATGCGTATACGGACGTCGCAGTATTTATGTTCGTTCGGTTAAATTGTCGATTCGTTAACAATAATAATTTATCATTTAAAGCTGCTAAATTCGAAGGATGTTAGGAATTGTTTATATTTTAATAATATTATATTTTCAAATATGTGATACGCGCATGTATACATATATATTGCAGGACGAGTAGTATAGTATAGTAGGAACCTAATATTTTGTATCGTACAGCGAACCTTTCTATTATTGTTTCGTGTTTATCATGACGTTAATTATAATTTTTCTATTAGAAAATAAATATGATTTGTTTAAAATATTTTTCTTTAACGTTTTTTATTCATTTATTTCATTATACATTTTTTCTCACGCGTCATATACAGAGAGAATAACTGTAAATCTGATCTCTATAATCTGTATAATTCAAATGAATTACGAGTTTGTTCTAAAGTGATTTGATCACTCATATATTATGTAAACGCAATATATTAGTCGTAGTCATAAACTAGTAAACGTTTAGACAATTTAAATGCTTTGGTTAGATGACTTGCAAAAAAGTAAATTTCTCGTCAGCTTAAAAATGTTAAAAATAAACGTAAATATAATATATTATTTAAATATTAAAATATATTATTTCTGTGATTTGGACCCTATGACCTGTTTCAATTTTCAACCGCTACTATTAGATAAAATGTAGAGTATACATTAAAAATTCTAATAACCGTGACCATTACTTACAAAAAAATTAGTTAAACTAATTCTAGGTATTTTTATTTCTTTTTATAAAATGATTTCGTTGTTTTATACATGGTTTCTTTGGCGCTTTGCCATTTACTGTTAAATATTGGTTTTAAATTAAAAATAATCGTTAAAAAACAGTTTTATAATAAAAATGCACGTAATGAATGTTATAAAAATACAAAATTTTAATTAGTTATTTGAATAAATTAAAAATAATTTTGATGGAAAACGCTTTTGGTTATTTGATTTTAATGTATATTGGATAAAGAAAAAGAAATTTTATTAAATGTACTGAAATTCTCTCTCTCTCTCTCTCTCTCTCTCTCTATATATATATATATATAAAATGCATTTACATTTATCGAATCATTAATTTATTGCTTTGATATTTAAAAATATATTGTAATACATTTTCACACCTTTCTTGTTTTAATATGGTAATTACTTTAGAAACCACTTGTGAGAATAAACTGTGTTTTGAAGTGAATATGTAATTGTGTATAATTGCCACAAAAAAAAAAAACCTAATTTTTTGTCATGCCCCTATCCATGCAACCTAAGAACGTATAATATAATCAGCTGACAACTATTAACTCATTAATTTTTGCGTTTTTACATTTATATATTTGTATGACTTAAAACAAATTATGTTTTCAAGTATAGTTGATTGATACCTAATGGACATGTATAAGGACATAATATAATCCGTTCGATTATTATTTACTTTGTTACCTAACAACAATTACAACCATTAGCTAACAAATATTGCAATCATTATTATTGTTCCTTGTTAAACTACTAGAAATAATTAATACAAATTACATCGTTTTGTTCATTGTATTCTGTGTCTTCTGAAATACTGAACTATATATTATTTTACAAAGAGTTCTATAGCGTATAATATATTTTTGTCTTAGAAAATAGTTTAGAGAGTAAGTAATATAGGTATACGTATATAGTTAAACCTTAGGCCAATATAAATTGCCGTTGAATTAAAAACACAAAACACGTTTCATGGTTGAAAAAAACGGAATTCTAATACAGAATTTCGAAATCATGTTTATTGTTTAGTCATCAAACTAATAAACATATTTTACAAGAAAGTTTAAAAAAATAAAATTTACACTTGTATTGAGTAAAAATTAATTTAGTTTGGACAAAAAAAATAACGTGATACTGCAAATCGATTGTTTATAAATTATGTATGTTAAACAATTGAGGATATAACTAATATAGTGCGAAATCCCGAATATTCTCTGAATCAACTAACAAGATATTACGACTAACCGAAATCAAAAATTTTTAAATTGAGGTTACGGTTAAGGTTACGGTTTCTTATTTTTTTTTTTTAATAAAGATTCCAGTTAAGGTTAAGGTTCCTAACACTTAAAGGTTAACCGGTTTATTCTAGTTTAAGTTTTAGTCCCTGGTTTTTTGCAACCCATTTTCATTGAAATGTCTACTAGTAACGTATTCTATTGTATTCATTTAAAATATACAAGTAATTATTACATACTAATTTATATCATTACATAAATAACGATTCATTTTTCTTTATGGGTTTCACACTTTTGATATCATAATACTCGTATATTTATAATAAAACAAATCGATAATAAATTTATATTTGTTTACTTTTAGACAAGCAAGCCATCTTTTACTGTTGATTATGTCAGAAATGAGTTTTTAATGGACGGCAAAGTATTTCGGTTTATCTCGGGCTCATTACACTATTTTAGAGTACCTAAACCTTATTGGAAGGATAGGATTCAGAAAATGAAAGCGGCTGGTTTAAATGCTGTATCGACGTAAGTGAATTGTCATTGAATAGCATAAAAATTAAAAATGTAGAAATATCTATGTAACAACTAAGTGGTTATTTTTATAACTAATAATTTGTTATTATACATATATTATGCGTATTTTCAAATTTGAAAGTTGTAAAATTGAAAATACTTTAAATACTGTATATAAATTTTTTTTTTGTTAAAAATATTATGTGTTATTTGAATATATTTACTATAGTAATAAATGGGAATTTAGATATGTAGAATGGAGTTTACATGAACCGCATCCAGGTGTATATAATTTTGAAGACATGGCCGATTTGGAATACTTTTTACAATTAATAAAGGAGGAAGGAATGTATGTATTGCTTAGACCGGGACCATACATTTGTGCCGAAAGAGATTTTGTGAGTACTAAGTCTCAGCTAAACATAAATTAGAAGCTTAGTTCAAATTATTATTGATGTATTTTAGGGTGGATTTCCATATTGGCTGTTGAATGTTGTGCCTCCAAAACGTCTTAGAACTAATGATCCAAGTATGTCGAGTAAAGTTTTTCTTATGACCAAGTTTTTATCAGCATAATACACAAATTTAGTGTTAATAAATATGATGGTATTTTATTTAATATTGAAATAATAAGCAATTATTCTAAAAAAATAAGAATACATAAAATAATTTATAATTTTCATATGCCATTATTTTTACAAGTATTCAATTTTTATGTTAATTATATACTTGGATAGGAATCAAAATTGATTTAAGTGATTAAAACTGCGAATGGTAAAACAATAAAGTGCATAAATATATTTTATAAAATTGATTAATTTTATAAGTCAATTTTTATTATTAAAAGCTATCTCATATAACTTACAAGTAGGATTATTTGTTTTAAATGGTTTATTTCATTTTTTTTTTTTTTTTTTTTTTTTTTTTTTTATGGATAATAAGTAATTTTAAGTAACTAAAAATCAATCACGTAATTTGTAATTTGAATAATAATTTTTTTGTGTTAAATTTAAGGTTATAAAAATTACATAACCAAATGGTTTAATGTTCTAATGCCAAAAATTGATCCATTTTTGTACGGAAATGGAGGAAACATTATCATGGTTCAGGTATAAAAAATAAACCCTATCATATTTTTATAGATAATTTAATTTTTATTTATTAGCTTTTTTTTTTAATAGGTAGAGAACGAATATGGTAGCTACAATGCATGTGATAAAGCTTATATGTTATGGTTACGTGATTTGTTTAAAAGTTACGTAGCACACAAGGCCTTACTTTATACAACTGACGGGTGTGGATATTCGTATTTCACATGTGGTTCTGTGCCTGAAGTTTATGCGACTGTGGATTTCGGTGCTTCGACAACAAATGGTAAGCATTATTAAGCGGAAGTGAATAACACATTTTTCGTGATCAATTTATTTTGAAACACAATTTTCAGTTTCTCAATGTTTTAAATATATGAGGTCGGTTCAAAAGAGGGGGCCATTTGTCAATTCTGAGTACTATGTTGGTTGGTTACCCCATTGGCAGGAGCCAATGCCTTTAGTGAGCTCTTACGAATCTGTGAGAGGTCTAAAAGACATGCTGGCTTTAAATGCATCGATTAATTTTTACATGTTCCACGGGGGTACCAATTTCGGATTTACATCTGGTGCCAACAACTATGAAACAATAACAAATTCCCTCTATTTGCCCCAAATGACCTCATATGATTACGATGCTCCGCTAAATGAAGCTGGAGATCCAACCGAAAAATACTTTGCAATTAAGAACTTCCTCGAAGAAGCTGTAAGTTTTCTAATTTTATTTTTATAATGATTTTACGTACCTATTTAATGTGTTTTGTGCTGAAGAATTATGTTGTGTCAAACGAAATATCACCAGTTCCAATGCCAAAAGGTAATTACGGAAGATTTACGATGACGCCATTGGTAAATTTGTTTGAAAAAGTCACGCAACGGATTAAACCGATTGAAAGTGATGTTCCGTTAGCGTTCGAAAATATGGATATTGACTCGGGATTTGTTATGTACGAGACGATTTTGACAAATGATCAAAAAAACGTCACCACTCCTGTTAATTTAACCATTAGCACAGTTAGGGATCGAGCATACGTATATCTAGATAAAGTACGTAAACGTTAAATAATTTTAATGATAATAAAACGTACTCTATAGATTTATTTCGCTCTAGGTACAAGCAAGTATTATTACTCGGAAACAAGAAAACATACCGATAAGTTTAAATTTAGACAGTTCGGTTCAAAAGTTAAGCATTCTTATAGAAAACCAAGGGAGAATCAACTACGGAAGTTTTATTGAAGACCGAAAGGTAGGATAGTATTTATTTATCCATAATTCACTGAAACCGTTACGTACGTTTAGGGAATTCTTGATCCTGTTACGCTGGGGAGCAAAGTGTTGGGCCCGTGGAAGATGATACCATACCCTCTGAACGAAACGTCTTGGCTTACAATGTTTGAACCGCAAGAACACGTCACGTTGCCAGCCTTCTATAGAACTCAATTTACATTTTCAAACAATTTAACGAACATTTATGATACTTATTTGGACACCACTGGGTGGAAAAAGGTTCGTTTCTGACAATTACAGTAAAAACTAACTAGAAATATTTTTATTCATTTGAATAACGAATGAATGATTTTTTATACTTTTTTTTTTTTTTTTTGCAGGGCGTGGCATTTGTGAATGGAATTAACGTTGGTCGATACTGGCCAGCGGCTGGACCTCAAATAACTCTTTATGTCCCTGCTACATATTTTATTCCATCACCCGGTATAAACACTGTCGTAATGTTGGAACTCGAAGGGGTTCCACAGGATTTATCAATAGCGTTAATTGACAAACCTAAATTGAATGGTTCCATTGATTCTTTGATTTGACAGTTATTAGCACTGACCCTTTGAAGTCTTTTTTTCTAATAGTGTGGAAATTATTTCAATTACATTGAATTGATATCATTTTTATTATACATAGGAATTTGCTGTAGCGCTATAAAAACTATATGAGAATAAAATTGAGGTTGTTGTTGCTATTATAACTATGCAATATATCAAACCTAAAAATGAATGTTAAAACGTAGCTTATAAGATAATAAAAGAGTAATTTGTGATCTTCATTTACTTTATTTATTAAGAAGATTTAAAAGATCAATTTATTTATTGTATTTTTTAATATTTTATTAGATAAATTTATAGAACGAAAAATGGCATAAATTTATAGTGTTGTTAATCTAATAATAAATATTTATTATAATACATAAATTATTTTCATAGATATTTCATATAATATCTATATATAATATAGATTTATTTAAAAACATATGTTTATATGGTGTGATAATAAACTTAACTATACTGTCTTTTTAAATTGGTATCCTGGTAATAATCAGTTATTCGTAATACATTTTCACATAGAAAAATACTGTATTTATTTTATTTCATATTCTAATTATATTGAAGATGGTTAAGTATTAAAAAAGTTGAATATGGTTATAAATAAAAAAAAAAAATAATTTACTGAAATTATGAAAGAATAAGTGTAAAAACAACAGATGGCGTTCAATTTTAAATCGAGAAATTTATTAGTGTCTATTTTAAATTTAAAAATCATGTTAAATATAAGTAAAAAATAATAGTAAGGTCAATTTGAAAAGAAAAAAACACCAAGTATACAACTTTCGTAACTAACACGATTCAATAAAACGCGTATTTATTGAGAATAATTGAAATAAAACCAACATAAAGAGGAAACAAATGAGGACAGATGACTGTGAACCTGTAAACTGTATACATTTAAAAAATGCAATGCAAAACTTATATGTCATAACAAAGTTATATAATTATTAAAAAAAGTTGTGGTTATACTGAAATACCATATGGCAATGAAATTATTTCAAGTTATAGAAACTACAAGAACACAAATTATATGAGTGAACTTATCCAATTATGTTTCAAAAATTATACTGTCAACTACAGTCCGAGAGTCTTGTTTAAGATTAGATTATAAAAACTATTTTAATGAGTTTGTAAGACTCGTTATTTATAAAAATTAGCGGATTTTTATGTGAAATACATTCCTATAATTCTACTTGTAAAAATCTGTTACAGATTCATTTTAATGGTATATTCACAAATATATACATATTTATATTGTATTAAGTATTGAAAAATGATAATTTTATAGATTTCAACTTTATACCAACACAATTACTCACCAAATTCCCATATCATCACAATAGTGTACATTTTATAATGTAACATTCATAGTTATTTGTATGCAATGTTATGTCTTACAATGAAGGGATAAAAAGGAAAGTAACAATTGATACTAGTTGAACAATTTTATTTTAACTATTCATATAAATATGCGTATTGAATACATATTAAAAAAACAAAAATGTTTTGAACATATAGTGCTTTTGTAAATGTCCTATGGTTGTGTTATATATTTATTGTTGTAATAATCGCTACAATTTGTTTTTTGTGTCATTATAAGTTTACTAAAAAACATAAATGAAATATTATTTTCAATCGTGTACATGATGTTCACCGTAGTTGTTCGACACAGCCCTGCGTAGTCCCATTAAAGCGCTGATGATTTCGGAGTTTCTCTTTTTGTTATTTATGTTGGAATCCGATGATCTTACAGCGTCGTTCGCTATACTGTCATCTGGAAATTTTCTTCCAGCATTCTGAAATTATAAATTACGAACAACTCGTGAAATCCCATAAGTATATATGGTTTAATATATAATATTATCTATAGTGTACAAAGGTGATAATTATTATGCAACAAAAATATACTAAACCAGTAAAAGTTTGTTATCGGCCAATGATGATTCATCGAAATCAATATTGTAATTATCGTCAGGGATGTATAATGGTCGAAAACGCCGTAACGAATAACCGTTGATCATGATGATAAGGTACGTCAAGCAAATAAACACCAGTAATAAATGACCCAAACGTTTCCTGAAATTAATAAATAAATTTTAATATATTATATGCAGTGGTTTAAAGCAATAAGGGTGTGTTATGCACCGTCGGTTGATTCCGTCGGCAGTAACGTTTTGAGTTCGTCTACACGGAGTAGGAAAAGAAACACAATTTTCAAACACGTATATTGATTATCGTGTTACAGAAAGATTTATTTGCTTATTCACAAATTACAAAACATATCAATTGAAACGATTCGTTCGAGACGTGTATATGATTAAATTGGTAGGACACGATTGCCGACCTGTTCGGTTTAAACAGGCTGAAGGCAGACGGTCGTCGCTCACATTATTGCTGACATTACTACATTATAAATATTTATTCATATTAATATTCATTATTAATATAGGAGTTTCTAACAGGTGTGTTAGGATATAGTTTAGATACATCGATACGTTTTGTTAGTTATTTTATTTTTTAATTATTAATACTACTACGCGGTAAAAGTAATTTATAACGACATCGATAAAGAAATTCGACAACGTCTTGCGGCCTCAACAAAAATCGGCTAAATTATTTGCACACAATAAGATAAAATTTAATAAATTATACGACATATTTGATACTGATCATATTCAACGGCATAATAAAATTAGCTTATATTGTAGTTTAATCGTGGCCAGAAATGTAATGGGGATTTATTTTTAATAAAACATCGATTTTTTGAACAAATAATTTTACCTTTTTACCCGTGTCATACGTCTAATCGAACAAGGGAAACGGATTTAAAGGAGAAAAATAAACGTGTCTTATACTTAATGTATACATTTTTTGTATTTTTTAGTCACTTATTTACCTTAATTATATTTATTTTCTTATCAAAATAGAAGTATACATACATTTAATGAAAACTGTTCAAAATATGCAATCAAATTAAGATAACAGTAAATATATGCACAAATATGCAAATGCACAGTTTCTAGTAGTATAATAAGTGCATAATTACTACTTTTAGCTCAAGTACCTTTTAACAATAAGTAAAGCACATTAAACATAATGAACCAGTCTCTTATAAAGAATGATTTTTATATAAAAAGCTCGTAATCGGCTTGAGGAAACAAAAATAAAATAAAAATAAAGCTCTCTAGTCAGTAGTTTACAGATACCCGTTTGAAGCTTCAATTAAATAACAATGCCTCTGGCAGACCATATGTACAATTAATAACCTACAATAAGATCAAATTATTTTTAAATCTCGTAAAGAATTAAAATCCATTGTCAATAAATTTTAAAACCTAATTGTCGACGTGTGCTGAAAACATTTTATAATAATTCAACTACTTTGATTTTATAATCCATGTATCAAGTGGTAATAACATTTGAATTGATTATTCAACGCAAACCCAAATTTAAATTTTATATTTTATTTTAAAAAGAAAATTTTCAATTTATACATAAATTATTTGTATAATAAATCATTAGAATATATATATTTATATATTTATAAGCCGCATGTTTACAGATATAAAATATTACATAGAGTGAAATTCAAAATAGTAAATGATTTATATTAAATAATAATATTAATAAATTAGTTACGAGATGCATTCGATTTAAGAGAAAAATTATACAAAAATGATTGGTTTATACTTGTAATCAGAATAAAAAAATTAAAACATCGCACATAAATTGTACACATTAATATAATAATTGTTCTACTTACATGTTTTGATTTTACTGTCCTCTGAAATACTAATTTAGTTTCTTAAAACGGACAATTTATATACTAATATGGGTTCGGATTACATAACAGTTTATATCATTTTTTGTAAGTTTAATTCTGTGAACTGGCCGTAAACATTTCAACAACAGACATTCCATAGAAGTTCATAAGCAGATAGTATGGAGTTGGAATATCCAACGATTTTTTAAATTTTTTTATTTATATAATACCGTGAATCTCGTTATTTTATTTGCAAATGGCTTTCTTATTGTTTTTCTTTTTGCATTAAAACATGATAGCTTGTCACATACAATTCATCGGTATAATTTTGTATTTAATCAACTAATTTCATAAGAATGTAGCATCTCTATTGTACTGCATATTAAATTATCATCGTTTCGGTTAAAGTTTTATAATATTGCGCAATGTCTTGGAAAAACAATCTATTTCGTATTTATTCATTTATTCATGACTTCATCAACGAGAATAGTAATTGAACATGAAATTATTTTCATTACATAACACATCGTAATTCGTGTAATATATGAACATGAAAAAACCTCAGATTGTTTAGTTAATATATCCCAATATTTCATTTCAGATACTGTTATTTTAATATTATGCATTATAAATAAGATTTTTGGGCGCTCTCGAGCGTTTCCGAATTTTTTAGAATGAATTCATAAGTCGAACGATAAACGGATAAATAATACAATAACTTACTGGCTAATTGATGGTAATTCATATAATTGGTTTATATTGTAATATGGTTACACGTCGTAATATTTTTGCGTACAAATGTTTATATGTAATAAAAGTCCTGCGTGGTTATATAAGAATCGCGCAACGGTTTTACTTAATTTAATATAATATTATGAAGGTACTTTTTCTATTTATAAGCGTAGGGTTGTCCTAACACTGTTATTTATTTTTACGGTGAAAAATTCAAAATGTCCAAGCTACGTACAAAGTTGTATACATTATGTACTTCAATAGTTTATGAGAAGTTTCGTTAGTCAAATAATACTGTAAAGATAATTTAAATGAAATGAGCATGTTGTAAAAAAAAATTGTTTACTCACGGTGTTAGAATTTTTTAAATTAATAATTTTATCAAAGAAATAAATGCGAAAATTAAATTATGAAAATTATAAAAATAATAATGCCATTTTATAATATTTTTTCTATACGGGTTGGAATATTGTATAGCCAACAGTGACGAAATTACGAGGGGGAAGGTTTGAGGTGTGGTATCTTTCCCTTGATTTTTTTTTTTTTTAATTCCAGAGCACCACTTTTATATATTTATTCAATACTAGATTACTATTTTAATAATATTATATTATTGTATAGAAATAATGCAAAAAAAAAAAAAAAAGCCTGAATTCCCTAGCTGTATACACATTATTTACAAATAAGATTATACAAAATATTTCAGTACTTCTGTTACAGAATTGGATAATATATTTTATATTAAATTGAATCGTGGTACAAAATTAAATCTCTAAGCGATTGCATTTTATTTTATCGTGGAGCATGGTAGGTATGATATTGTGTAAATAATATAATAGGATTTGATATATATATATATATATATATAATGAAATATAATATACATTAGTTACGTCTAATAATGCAAGACTACTATATTAATTATCAATTAAATTTAAAGGCTCGGTTACACTGTGCAGCTGAATGCCATTTAGCATGGCCATCGGTAAATACATATATCCACATAGGTGTTGGCATTTAGTAGTTTAAATGCCGTTTATTTAAAATATTTTGATATGTTTTCCGAAGACGATATACTTCGCTGACTTTTGTACATATCCAGATGGAATATTATATTTTCAGTACGAAACATAACTACTTTTTCAGCTCGGAGATTATACTTTATGTCTATTTACTTTTTTTATCTCGTAGAACCGATTAAATGGTGTTGCTATGTTGGCAGTCTACAAAAATATTGAAATTGATCCAGAAAAAGTTGTCAATAAATTAGGATTAAAGCTACATAGAGTGGATCTTTTATTGCGAATTTACTATAACATTACATAACATTTATTATAAACTTTCGCAGTTACCAATAAAATACATGTACTTATTTCTAATGACAATATTTAAATATGTATTATGTAATTATTTTTTTCAATGTGTGCATGAATTTTTAAATTATTTTTAAATGTTTTTACATTAAACATGTCACTATGGTAATATTAAGAGGTACTTATACATCCAAGATACATTCATTTTATTTTATTTTATTTATTTATTTATTTAGGGGGAGGAATAATTTAATGTGTGACAATTTCATCCCTCCCTACAAGCATAACCAAATTACGCCACTGATAACCAGCGGTGGGGAACGCAAGGGGTTAAGTGAATGTTTCCGTTAGAAAATGTTGGTCCAGTCGTCGACCTTGAATTATCGACCAGCTCAAAATACAATTGATAGTATAATAGAGTATTATCATATTTGTTATATCGGTGTACCGTTATTATCAGTTTGATGTCGCGTGCGTATGTAATGTTTTGATAGTTATCAACATGACTTCCTAACGTCGCGATGCGTCATTGTCAAACACAATATGCGCGCATAAAGTTTTGAAGGTCCCGAATAACAAATTTATCGATATAGAAAAGTTTCGGTCGGCTAACTTCACATGCCGGTTTACAAAAAAATAATAAAAAAAAAAAATTCTAGTTTAACAGAATTGTACATCTGCTCATTATTATTCATAGCCGCTTAACGCCATACTACGATGCCGTGTTCAAACGTACTATTAGCAATGCACTCGGTACTTCGAAATTACTGTGCATCGCAAAATTGTTTTATTTGTAATTATATTCATGTCGACTACGTAGCGTTCGCGATCATTATTAATTGCAAGCGGAAAATTCATGGAGAAAATATCATTACAAAATATCATCTATGTCGGGGACGACAACGCGTTATGATTTTTCACTTTATCTTCGCTGTTCGTAAATGTAAAAAGAATACGTTTGGCTGGAACGATCTCCTAAGTTATGTAATAACTCGATTTACGAGCGTATCTTATAGATAAGACGTTGTTAGTTACAGAATATAGTGGAAAGAGGTGAGGCGTCCAATGTATTTAATGTACCACTTTGCATTTTTGGATTTACCACTAATCCGACGGTACCGTTGAAGGTTTTTTTTTAATATTTTTATCCGTCGAGCTGTACCAAATATAATCCCCTGAAGTTAGGTTAGGTTAGGTTAGGCTAACTTTTTATCCGTTTTTTCGATAGAGAGTTAGATGGAAGGGATGATATATAAAAACGTTGAATGCTTCTCTTTTACGGCATGTATTCTATGAGTATTTTGTATAATACGAGTACATAGTAGATGAATCATATATATATATAGGCATATTATAACATTGGGAGTAGGATTTGAATAAGTCATTCTTGACTCCTCCAACTCACTTCTCTATAACGCCAAAAAAATTATACATGTACCTTTACGCTTGTAACAAAATACAACGATATAAAATAATTTGCATAAAGATATAAGCTTTTTAATTTAAAAAATAAAATAATCAGATGGCAGTATGATAACATAGTATTTCGAAATCATATTAAGTAATATACACCGGGTATGGGTCCGACAAACAGGGTTCGGGTCATACGGGTGAGTTGTTTTAATTATTATTATTTAATTCGATCAAATCCTTAAGTCGCCAAGTTTTTGTTTTCAAACCAGCCATTTTTATAGTTAAATTGTTGTTTTTAAATCTGTCTCCGGTATACACTATTGTGTAACGCTAATCATGCGCGTAGTAATTACATAATACAACAGGCAAGTGATATGAATAATATATATACACGCAGGGTAAAAACAAAATAATTATTGTTCATACTGATTTTGGACAGGACCTTTTATAATTATTAAAACTGACAGCAGGAGATCGCTGCGGGAATTTATATTAAATAATTATAAATAAAATTAAACAAGTCTCTTTTGTTTGACTGAAATATTTTCCGAAACCACTAACTCGATTATACACGTGGTTACTTGAATTTCGTAAATAATTTCTTAGTGGTGGAAGATATATAGAAATGATTAATTATGTAATAATATCAACTTTGTAGTAACGTTGTAATTTTAAGTATTATTATTGTTATAACTGTACAATTGTAGGCGAGGGAGCAGGCACTTATTGTATTTTCATGTATCACTTTGTACTTGAAAGTAATATAGGTACTTTTCTGACGACACTGTTCAATGTTTGCTCCATTTTTCCTCTGTTCCAAACATTCCCCAGAGAGTATCTCCATGTCACCCTCTATTCAATTTTTGGTCTTGAGGGAGTTAGTGGAGAGGAGAGAAAATCGACCATTGTGTTTGGACGTTTCATTATTCCAACAACACTATGTTAGATATTATAAAACATTTTTTTCGCACAGTTGTTCCGAACATACTGCCTCCCCCCAAGGTTCTATGTATTCTGTTTCCTTAATAATAATAAAGAAACGGAAGTCATAACTTCTTAAACATTTTCATAGCTGAAATAAAATTATCCTTATATAATCTGGTCTGCGAATTGAGATTTCTGTCAGACACCTAGCTTGTACGTGTGTGATCATCTGTACCTTAAATCTTATTTGTTATAGTATTTGATGTCCAAAACTAACTTACTTTTTTTACTAAGAAAGTAATTATTGGGTATTTTTGCACTTTGCGCATTGTACTAATAACGTTTCGTGTACCGTCGCGATTGCCTACGGAACATGGTAACCATTTTAATACCGTATGGTTTCGTTCATAAACATTACCGGCGCAGCTGAACCGTTGCCCGCATTTTATATGAACACATTATTTCCCATGAACCTACGGTGAAACGTGTTACCGAGCATAAAAATAATTCATAACACAGTTGTCTATTACTTGAGATGTTATCTAAAACGTTAGAGATCGTTCAAGTAATAACGCATATTTTTATTAATAATAATATTCAAACGTCATAATTTATAAGGCGTGGAGAATTTTTCTTAGTCTAAAAATTCAAATTCAATTACGAAATGAGACAATTGGGCCGGTATGTTAAGTG